TGTGTGTGTGTGTGTGTGTGTGTGTGAAATGTGGTATGAGGATGCAGCAGCTCAAGGTGGAGGGTGAGGTTACTTTTCTGGTGACCAGATTCCCGTCTTCGTCTGTGAACTGCTCCTCCGTCACAGACTCTCCAGGAATGTTTCTGGCCTCCTCTCCCTGAGGTGGAGGTTTGAATGTGGATGGAGGGATGGTTGAGGAGAAGGAGGAGGGAGGGATGGGTGAGGAGGAGCGAGGGAAGCACGGAGGGTTGAAGGTAAAAGGTTAGCAGGCGTTTTTTTTAAATGGTGATTCAGAGATTTGACTTATTGACAGAGTTTAGCATGCCCGACACAGCTGCTGTGGAAATGAAGAATAGGTGGATTTTCATTGTTAGAAATAAAATAGATTCTGCAGTTTTTCTGATCTCCGTGTGCTTTCTGTCTGAACAATCCCAAAAACCTGAGGTGCCAAAATCAATAATCCACAAGCCAGGAAGCAAAACCAAAGACCAAACAGCACGGCAGGGAAAGTAGTGACTCACAGCAACAAGCAGTGAGTAGCACTTCATGCCACAAACACTCACTGTCCGGTTCCTTCTCGTCTTTTAGATCTTTCTTAAAGATCCAGTGTGTAGAATTTAGTGACGTCTAGTGGTGAAGTTTAATGTTGCAGCTGAATATCCTATACTGTGGAAGCCTTGGAACTTCAATTAGTTTTTTTTTTTCCTGTGAACGTTTCCACATCAGCCTGAACATAAAATCTATTTTAAGGACATTGTGACTAAAAGTATAAGTTGTTATTCATACATATAAAAATCCACTCACGTTCATTTTCTGTCACACTGACTCACAAACACTGCAGCTGCACACAAACACGGTAAACAAAAGCATCTGTGCAAACCCCGACACAGCAGGAAACTTCTGTTTGAACGTTTCTGTTCGTCTCTGTGACTCTTTCTCCTTCACACACTTGCACGGAGTCGCAGAGTTTAATGCGAGCGCACTGCACACTGACTCCAGCTCTGCACACACCGGGTCTCACACACCTTGAGTATGACCCGTCTGCGGAACACCCGGGTGGTGACAGTGGTCTCCTCGTCAGAGCTGGACTCCTCAGCTCTGACACTCCCCTGACGGAGGCAGCCCAGGAGCAGCGTAACGTTAAAGTGTGTTTGTGAGTTTACTTTTTAGAGGAGACGTATCATGCTCGTATTACAGGTTCATCATTTCAATCAGGGAAAATGTTTATCGCTCTAATCTTCTAATGTCCTCTTCTCAGCCTCTGTCTGAAACTTTTTACCGTCACAAAAAAAACCTATAAAACACTAGAGGACAGAAAACACTGAAAAAGCATCATATGTCTCCTTTAATGGTAAAAACATTTGTCAGTGAAATGAAGGTGATGGAAAGATGCTGGTGTGTAGGACAGGTTCATATTCCTGGGCTGTGCTTTGTTACCGAAACATTTCAGCCTGAAAGTCAATTAGAAAGAACTTTACACTGAATTAGGACAAAATAAATCTTCTTCAAGGTCTGCAGACGTCACTATGTATGTCATAAAAACATAAAACAGTGAAAACCGACTCTGTCTCTCACCTGGACTTTGTGCTGGGATCTGTCACCGGCCTCGTCCCGTCCTCTGCTTGGTCCCGCGGTGCTGCTGTCCTCCTGAGATCCCTTCCTCTTGGCCTCCTTTCCCTTAACGTCACTTTGACCTCCGTTCTGTCTGATGGTCGGAGGCGGCGGCTGCTCCAGTGAATCTGCCAGACTGTCGGGGCTGGTGGGTTTAAAATATAGTTTCGGAGATTTATTGTGCTGCGATCACAAACCTGCTGACAGTAACCGCTGGAGTGTAAATCTAAAAAACGAAAGGATGAAGACACGTCCTACCTGCCCCCCTCAGCGCCGTGCAGTGCTGATGACTCTGTGGTCGCGTCGGACGTCTCGCCTCTCCAACCTGGAACTGAACACATAACTTTTTCTGCTTGCCGCACTTGTTCGAGGATGGCGTTCACCCTCTCCTCTGTCATCTCCTCGTCCTCCAAGCCTCCCTCCAGCTTTATATCCTCCAGCAGACTCTGCAGCCTCTCCTGGGTCATCTCCTCCTCTTCTTCCTCCTCTTCGTCCTGCCTTCCATTTCCGAAAAGAGTGTCCGAGGCAGCACATGCTTCTTGGTGTCTCTCCAAAGCAACATTTTGCCCTGCCTTCAATCCTTCTGTCCCCTCTACTGTTCTTCTGTCGTTATCTGGCCTCTCATAAGAAGCCACTCCCGTCTTCTCTTCCACTCTTTCTCGAGCGGTTAAGGTTGTGTCTTCTTCCCCAACAATGGGGGGCTCCGGGGCACAGGAGCCAGGGCCTTGGGCGACGGTTAGGGGGGTGCTGCTGGAGGTACTGGTGGTCTGTGTGAGCGAGAGGTCGCTAGGTCTAGTGAGCGTGGTCTTGCTAGGGGAATCTACGCTAACTTCGCCTTCGCTAAAGAAGTCGTCTGAGCGCAGCGGGGTGGGGGGCTGGTAGTTCAGGTCTGTGGGGGTTTGCAGCTCCAGATCTATATTGTGGTATCCTGGGTGGATGGCAGGAGTAAAGGATTAGAGGATGAGGGGGTCGAAGAGGGCGGAAAGATTAAAAAAAAAAAGAGGGGAGGAAAGGAGGAGGGCAAGGAGAGGTAGAGTGGTGGAGGTGATGAAATGAGAAACACTTGGAACATCTAAAGGTGTTCAAAAGTCACACAGGTGTGATCCCAACACAGTTTAAAGCTGCATTCACTGCACTAGCTTTTTGTGGCCACTTGGGGCCAGTGTCAACAAGCTGTGAACGTTGACAAACTCACTTTATCAAGTTCAAGTTGCCAGTTTACACATCCTGCAGACGTGCGTGAGTATTATTACTGGTCGATAATCATTTCTCTCAAGAGTTGGTTGAGAGTAAAGCTGAGCTAAAGGAGACAGAATATTGTATTGTCATTTAAAAAATGCTGATGTTGCTTGATGTTGATGTCGACGTCTGCAGGACGTGTAAGTTGATGTGTCAGCGTTCGGAGCTTATAGAGACCAGCACAAATTGTTTAAAGCTGCTTTAAGGATATTCCTCATGGGAACTTGTGTGTGACAGCTGAACCATCACTGCAGGAGAGACACATGATCAGATCACAAGAAGATGGAAACAGAAATGAAAGTCTCAAAGACAATAGAAAATATAAACTTCACATGTACTGTTTTTTAGAAATGCAGAAAATCAATCAGGTCGCCTGCAAAGTTCCTCAGCAACGGTCGGGAGTTCCCGACCACCTAAGTCAGAAAAGCCCTTTTGTTAAAGCCCTTAACTTAAGACCCAGAGTCAGAGCTGATTTCATGAAATTAGCGTGCGGAGGAGTCGTCCTTCGAGCGGCTTGAGTTTAAAACAAGCTCAAGCTCAGATCAATTATTTCTGCAGTCAATGAGCAAAAGCTTGAGCAGAATCCAGGAAAGTTAGTCGAGTTAAATTTACACAAAAAGGCAGAAGAGGAGCAGAGCAACCAACAGACGTCTAAATGTAAAATTCAGGGACAGAGCGATCCCGTCTGAAGTAACGAGGGACTCCCGGAGGAAGGGGAGAGGGAGGAGGTGAGGCGGGAAGTGAAGGGGAAGGAGGAGAGTGGTGACATAGAGGAGGACAAGGGGAACAATGAGTGGGAGAAAAAAGAGGGGAGGTAGGGAGAGAAGGTGAGAGAAATGTTGGAGGAAGAGGAGGGGGAGAGGAGGCACAGATTATTGAAGGAGAGGGGGGAGTAGAAGGGGAAGATGAAGGAGCAGATGAGGGAAGGGGGTTGCAAGAAGAGAGAGGAGGGGGAGGTGATTTTAAAGGTGCAGGATGTGGAGGAGGGCGAAGATCGAGAGGAGGAATGGAGGAAGGCGGAGGAGAGAAGAGCAGATGATCGGAAGAGGGAGGAAGGTGAGGGGGAGAGAAGAACAAGGAGCAGCTAAAAGGACTCTGAGGGGTGGAGGGGAGAGGAGGGGAGTAAGGCAAGGTGAAGAAGTGAGGGAGGACGGGAGCGACGGGTAAGATGTAAACAGGAGGTGTCGAGGGGGGAGACGGGAAGTGAAAGACGGAGGCGGGAGGAGGGAAGGTAGGAGGGGAGGGGAAAGAGGTAAAGGGAGGAGAGGAGGAGGTAGAGGAGGGAGCAGCAGCAGGGAGAGGGGTGACGGGCTGAGACGTTTGAGGACGCGGGAGCACTGTAGGAGATCGGAGAATCTTTGGAGCTACGTCAGTTATCACACAGAAAATAAAAACAAACACACAACAAGTGTTAGACAAGACTCGGGTGAAAAGACAAACAGAGCATGAAAGGCACAGACAGTGGAGTGAACATGTGACTGATGAAGACGTTGGAGAAGCTGCAGAAGCGAAGACCACACTCACAGGATTGCTTATTTCAGCTGATAAGCAAGAAAAGAGGCTTTTAAGTCGAGAGCAGCAGCGTCAAAAACAGAGTGGAAATAAAATAAGCTATCCTGGATTTGTCTCACAGGAGGACGTTTAGAAGTTTACGGATTTAGGAAGTTTAAAGTTAAAAACAATTTTCATATAGTCTGGGAATATTCAGCAGTTAGAATAAATTCCCACACCGTGTCCTTGAATTAGCAAATGTTAGCCATTGTTGGAAGTTAGCTGGTTAGCTGTGGCGTGGGAATTTGCTTTCGGGAGTTAGTCACTAAGAAGCAAGAGATGAAGAGGAGGAAGAGGAGGAAGAGGAGGTGGGGACTCTGCTTGCGTCAAAGCAGGAGAAGCTACAGCGGAGCGTCGAGGCCGGGAGGCTCGGAGGAACCCAGGAGATGACAGCTACAGAACAGCTGACAGCAGTGACACAAAAGCGTAATTATACACTGTGCACTTTGAGAAAAAAGGGGTTTCGTTTTCAACCCACGTGAAGTTTCACCTGAGGCCGAGCACGTCAACGTGAGCCTCACAGAAACACTCGAGCATGTGTTGAAAAGGCTCCGCCCATTCGAAGTGTGCTAAAAGTGTATTATTATAAAAGCCGACAAAGATCTGAACAGGCAGCCTCTCACACAAAGCCAGAGCCATGCATCTTGTTCATCTGTGTGTCTGTTAAATGTCGGGTTCATCTTGACATAAAGATCATTTTTGCTCCGGTTTTGGTCAAAGCAAGCGTGACACTGATCCTTGTGTTCAGATGACTTTTAAAAACCTATTTGCAATGAGGACCATTTCAGGTTTTTGTCTTGAGCTGTGAATACAACAGCTGACAACAGAAGAAAGAGTTTTCTATTTCGTTGGAGCTGCTTCGGCTACGAAAAAATTATTCTCGAGTCCAATTGGTGAATCCAATTAGTAAACATGTGATGGTTCTGAATAACAAGTGCTGTGTTTGCATGATTTTTAAGAAAAGATAAAATATTTATAATCACATTTTCATCAGGGTTCTGAAATGGTCCTCGTGGGGTCGGTCAAAATCAGAGAAAACTACAGTGACTGCCACATTTAAATTTCATTTCAGAGAAAGAGAGAAATACAGAAAGAGGGATGAAAGGACTTCATACTGGTAAAAGCAAGCATGCCATTATTATAGATTAGTTATGATTATGTCTTAAGGGTTTTAATAGCAACTGACACAAATCGATCACAGGAAATGAATTTGAAACCTGTAACGTAGAAATAAACACGTTGGACATTTTACAAAAACAGTCACACATAATAAAAAGTCTCATGCACCCAAACCGGTACAGACTTTCGTGCACTTATCTATATATCAATAAATATATAGATATATAGATAATCACCCAAAAATCTATCACTGTGCTACAAATTAACTGCCCAGCGTTGGAAAACTAACAAACCAACTGGAGTGACTGCATCATGAAGACGACTCTACTGCTATCATCAGCTGATGGTCCGTTAACTATGAGCTCAGTGAACCTGCTGGAGCATTCAGTCGTTTTCTATTAGCTCCTAATCGACTCTCACTACTCGGTTAAGCCTGATTGGTTCTGGGTTTGCTCCTGACTATCTGGCTGAGAGAGGAGGTGAAGAAGGGTGAAGGGATAGACTGAGAGATAGACTGAGAGTTCAGCTAGGGTGGGCTACACTTTACCATCGGACTGATCCGGGAATACTGCGTTATCATCGGCAAAGCAGCGTGTGCCTGAAATGTTACCGTAGTCAAATATGGGCCCTTCCAGCAAAGTCACAATATCCAACCGATTGATCTTAGTCAGCACCGCAGTTAAAGCGTCCGCTGGAGGGAGAAACAGAGAAATGACATCAGTGCCACATTACATACAAGTAGACCTGGTTATGAACGACAACACACACACACACACAAACACACACTGCTTACTTGTGGCATTTTTACCATCCCTGTGCACCCATTTCTTTAGGAGCATGAAACTCTGCGCTGTCAGGGAATTGGGGTTCTCCACTCGGATGAAGTTGATTTCTTCCACAGAGAAATCCAGCTCCCTGGCCAGCTCTGCAACAAACAGCGATAATTAAAAAAATATATATTTCAGGAGAAAGTGTTCAAATGAAAAAGAGTTCAGAGTTTTGTTGGCACCAACTAGGCAAAGCTTAGGAGTCTCATTTCTTCTGAGATCACATGTCTACACTTTCTTTTATCACCCATCAAGTGACAAATGCTCTGTGTTAGTTACTGACAGAGTTGAAAAAGAAAATTAAAAACACCACTACCATCCCCCCTCTTGTTGTGAACTGTGTGATACTCCGTTATGTAAGATTTAAAAAAAAAAATGTAAATATGAATAATGTACAAAGACTGAGTCTGCTGTTTACGAATAAAACATAAGAAATAGTTATCTGGAGAAAGCCTGAGAGAAAAAAAATATATTCAATAGTGACGTTTGTCATAATCTGGAATCTGTTTGTGTGTTCTTTCCTTTTTTCACGTTTTGTGAACAGAATACTAGAAGATGTACGTGTGAAAATCAGGGGTGTCTGGTAACCCCACAAAATGATGAGCTATTATCTTATCTGACGTAACTGTAGCACTGAAAACATTTCCGTGATGTGTTAAAACTTTCATTTGTATTTATTTCCTTAATGCTCGTTCACTAAATAATCATAGCTGCCAAACACAGTCTAAGGAAAACGAGGGAGTGAACCGCTGCCCGTTCAGACAAGCACACGCGCTGTAAATCTGTAAACCGTGAGAACATAATGTTCAGCAGGTCTGCTTGTTTCACTGCAGCTCTGCAACACACGTTAAATATGGATTAGCATCCTTTCCCCCACTGAGCACTCACTCACACACAACTGCTCACACTCATGCACACTACAGAGGATGACAGTGCACCCACTCACACACATGTACGCAGGCGTGGGGCAGTGCTGCAGTGCAGGTGGAGGCTCGGACTGAACTGCAGAGGCCACACCCTTATCTCCACAAGAAACTGTGTTCAAGAAATACCATCACTCTGTTGCTCTTACAAACACTCCAACACAAAGCTAGAATCTAAATACATGTCTATACAACCCTTTAACCGTTAAAATTAAAAACATGTATTACTTTAAACCTTTTTTGGCCTTTACACCAAAACACGTCTGTTTAGATTTCACAAATTAAATTAAAAAGGTCCGCAGCAATTTGAGTTTTTGTAATTTTCCAGTAATGATCTACTTAGACGTTGAATGTGTGTTGATCATGCTCAGTTTGTGACCAACTCTGTCACTGCAGCACTGCTGAGTCAAGACGTTCTATACCAGACGTCCACCAGATGGCAACAAACACTGTGAGACTAGTGGTTTGAAAGCTGGAGGAGTTCCAGCTGATTCATGCACACCGGGGCGTTCTGTATAATTCACATGATGAATCCTCTCTGTTAGAATCCATCAGTATCATATCCAGCGAAATGACTGAAAATTAATGAAAGAGTTTTTGTTTTGATTCAAGCACTGCAGCTTTTTTTCATCCTGTCCTGATTTCTATAATAAATGATAAATTCTGCTTCATGCTTGTTTTTCATTGTCGACATGTGAAGAAGTGAGACGTGTGTGAACGTACCGGTCCAGCTGAGTCCGAGGTGGTCGGCTACTATTGCCATGCGGAGGTCTGTTCTCTCACAGGGACTCTGAGGGCCTGTGCGGTGAAGCAGGGAGGGGCAGGACACAAACAGTTAACGTGTGTGGTTTTACGACAACAATCCCCTGAGTCAAATGAGGTTCTCATAAAATGGCTGCAGAGGGGAGCGATGATATTTGATGGAAAAAAGAGATTGGGATTGTGAACTAAAGTCTGATGTGGGCTGTCTACGTATATATATGTGGTGTCACCATTATACACGCTGAATACCTGGTTGATGAATATCGTTTGAAATAAGAGTTTCTGCCTCTTTGGTTTTTTTTTTGAGGTGATTTTAATGTTAAACATAAAGACCAACTTTAGCTCACTGTCCCATGTTTCACCTTTAAAAAAAAAAAAAGATAGATTTTCTTGCCAGACAATCCTCAATGATTTGTTTTGGATGGTTTGTTTTTGAGAAATGATTTAACACTGGAAAGCAGAAATATACTTGTTTATATGTATTTTCTTGCTGGGAGGTGAAGAGAGATTCATATTAAAGGAGACATATTCTGCCCATATTCAGGTTCATAATTTCATATTCTGTCTCAAACACTGGGTTCTAGCTCCTGTCTCTTTAATGATTGCAATACATAAAAACTTTATAAAACACTCATCTGCCTATTCAGTATGAAGCTGGAGCAAAGATATGGTCAGCTTAGCTTAGCATTAAGACTGGAGACCGATATAAACAGCTAGCCTGGTTCTGTCTAAAGCTAATAGACCCTACCACCACTAACTATATGTTATATCTAGTTAGTTTAATTCATGAAGAAACTAGACCATTACTATTAAATACTAAGTCTTGTGAAATGCAGTAACTACCTTTTTGGGGCTAACACTGTGAAGCTTAAATGAGAGAGCTGATTATACAAAATACAATCATGAGAACGAGGATCTGTGAGGCCAGAAAAGAAAAGAAGAACAAAAATCACACTTTCACAGTAAAATGTATGATGTTCAGTAGAATTAGTATTAGTAGTTAAGAGTTCAGAGTCAAAGACTTTTGTATCACATCACTAACAACAAACGATCTACCATCAGGCAACATTCCCTCCCACTGAAAAAAACAATTCATGGCTTTAACTTGAAATCAAAAGAAATCCAGCGGCACAAGGTTTTCCACCACGTTAGAAATGACACCATCCTGTGCGGCCGACATTCACAATGATTGTCAAGTTCAGTCGCTGAATTGTTTTCGCAGTGAATTCCGAGAGCAAGAGTACCACCCAAAAATATCTACAGACCAGGCAGGCAGACCAAAACAAGCACAAGGTCAGATTCTTCACAGACGGTCATTTACAATTAGGTCTTAATCATGTCTAGAGTGGAGGTGAGGGGTGTGGTGAGATGCAAAACTACCCTAATCTTGGTGTGGTATGGATCTGAGGATCTAAACTTATGTGCTTATTTGCAAACTGATACTGATGCTGACGGAAATTGCACTTCCTGTACCTTTCGACTGAACACCAGAGAAATCGCTGTCATCTGTAGTAAAGCTTTCATAAGCTGGTCATTATTGCTATGAGGTAAAAAATATGAGATAACTGATCTTATACACCTAAGAGTATGAAATTAAGCTCTTGAGTATTTCTGCTCCAGTCATCGACTCTCCGTGTTGTAGCCTTTACGTCTAAATCAGACAGCACAGGACACAGATAACAAGAATGACAGGAAGAAGTGACAGCTACACTTACGTCACATCACAAAGCACCCACAACGGCTACATGCATCTCATCGAGAAAGATAAAGTATAACAAGTGTTTAGAAAGAGTTTACAAACTAGTCTCGTTCTCCGTGACAGGAGCCTTGATTGGTTGATCAACCTGATTCCCTTCCTCCTTCTGCTCTTGCTCCTTTTCTCCAAGTGTCCGCCTACTCTTCCTCCTCCTCCTCCTCACCATTTCACTGCTGGCCTGCTCAACCTCAGCTTTCACATGTCTAGTAGATGGTGTTGATGTGGTGGTGGAGGTAGAGGTAGAGGTGCGTGAAGGGCAGGAACTTCTAGAGGCTCTAGATGGCTCTGACAGGGAAGTGTTCCTGGTCGTGCTGAGGCTGCAGCTCTCTTCATCCTCTATGGGCAGTGTTTTCCCCTCTAAGCTTGTTTCAGCCTCCTTGGGAAGGGTTTGGTTCAAATGGTTGACTACCTGGCTACTACCTGACCTTGTTCTTAAGTTTTTTGAGACCACACCACAGTTTTTTCTCCCAGTCTCCATTGTGCTACTTCTACCTGGGATTTTCACAAAGCTGTATCTTTGCTGAGTGCTGGATCTGCTTTTAGTTAGCTGTTTACTACCCCTGTTAGTTGTAATGCTGCTATCACAAACTGCAGATTGTTTACCAACCTGCTTCCGCGCCTGAGAACATACGGTGTGTTTAATGGCTTTCATTACTGGGATTCTAGATTTAGGAAATAAATTCTCAAAAGGGTCTAATCTTTCCCTCACTCTATGCATTGTCCGTTTCCTGTCTTTGAATTTAACAACATTTTCTTTCGCCTTGTCTTTCACCATTGGTTGACTTTGGCTGCATAGTTTATTGCTAGACACCCTCACTGGTAACCTAGACTTGCATATCTGGGGTTTAACATTTCTGGCTCCTGTATTTTTTATTGCTACATTAGGACAAGTCCTGCCTTCCCTGCTGTTCACATCTAGCTGGTTGAAGGATGCTTCTATCCTGCTTATCTCCTGCTGTCCTGAAGAGGACAACAAGTTGAACACAATATTGCTACTGGTATTACTACTCCATGTTTGGGGATTGCTTATAAGTTGTGAAGGTGCAGAAGAATGATCTGTGCTTTGGTCATTAGTGATCTGATTACCTGAGGTCCAATCCAAATCGTCTCTTTGTTTGGACATATCTGAAGGAAGTCTGAGATTTGAATAATAATCTGTCATGTCTGACGCATTAAAACTAGAACAATCTATATAGTTTGAGGTTAGATAACAAGAACTATCTACAACTGATCCTGAGGTTATGTCATTAGAATTGTTAAAGGTGCCTGTTGTTCTACATTTAGAGCTGCTATTTGAAGAATCAGAGGGTTTATCAGATGATAACTTGAATCCTGTTCTAAAAGTGGAGAATTTAAGATCAGTGTTGGAAGTTGAGTCTCTGCATGTGCTGTAAATCGCAGCTGGATTTGATATTTCTAGCTGGACAGTGGTTGTCTGAATAGAGACTTGAGGGAGTGTTGAGGTATCTGTAGGATCCTGAGTACTAAACTGATTTCTGTGTTGTGAGGAGGCATCTATCTCAAAGTCCCTGACACTGTATCTACCCGCCGAGAAGTAATGCTCACCAATCTGAAAAAACTGCAGCCTCTCTTCCACCATGTCCCTCTTGCTCATGTCAATTGCACCACTTCGTGTCATCTCAAACATCTTCCCTTCATGGAAGGGGAATGGATTTGGCTCGCTCGTCGGTGTGCTATCGTCCGTTGGCGTTCGGGCTGGGGTAGTGTCTGGTGTTGTGGCCTGAGACTGTTCATCCACTGCTAGTCCAAAAGGCTTAGGCTCACCATTGCTATCCCGTGTCCCTCCCATGTCAACGACTTCCTCCGCTCCACCTTTACTGGGCCAGGGGTCAAAGTCCAGCCCTTTGGTGGCAACAGTCTTAAAAGGAGAGTTAAATTCCTCCTCTAACTTATAACTAAAGTAAGTGTCTGAAAATCCCTCTTTATCTGAGGGTTTTTGTTCCTGACCTTTAACCCCACCGTTATTAAACTCATCAGGATTTCCACCATTTAAGTGGGTATCTTTTGGGCTAGCATCCTTTGGACATTCTTCTGGGGTTTTCTCCTCTTCAATAACTTCCAGTTTGGACTGGGGAAAACACCGGTCTGAGGACCTAAATGTGTCTGTTGCCCAAACATCTCTCCGGCTGTCTGGAAGACCAAAGAGCCGTAAATCCGCCTGCTCGCACAGGCCATCATCCTCATCCTGAAGTTCATATCCATCTAAGGAGTCTATCTCTGTTGCATCTGTGTCATGAGAAAATTCAGCTGTCGTGGCTATTGAACAGTCTGTTATTGATTGGTCATTTCCATTTTGTTCATATTCATCGTCCTCTGCTTTGTCATTGGAACCTTTAGAACCATTGGAACCACTGGAGCCATTGGTCCCACCATTCAGTTCTTTGTTATTTCCATTTTTGTCATGTTTTTTAGATTTAGATCCCTTCTCCTTCTTTTTGTCCTCCTCATCCTCCTCGGGAGCCTTGAAACCTAATTTCCTACAGGGAATTGGCTGGAAGATTGACTCATCCTCCTCTTCTAACTCTTCATCATTTGACTGACTGTCATCTGTCCCAGGAGGAACTGGGGAGGGGGGTTGGATTCGTATAATTGGTTCGGTCAGATGCAGATGCTTGTCATGTTCCTCTTGTAAGTTTACCTCCATCATTTCTGTCTCAGTCTCTGAAGAGGCACATGAACCTTTCCTCTCTGGGTCTGAAATTTCTGAAACTGAGTCTAAAGGCGGAGGAGGAGGGAACTCGATATATGCAATACCTTTGTCCTTTGAGACTTCTTGATGCTCCTGCCCAGTTATTTCGTCTTGCCTACCATTGCTTGTTTCTTGCCGGTTAAACAGTATTGCTAATTCCTGATTGTTATCATTAATTTCCATTTCTTGATTCGCATTGGTAAGGTCTGCTTGGGTGCTAGTTTTCCTTTCTGGCAGGGCCTCTTTAAAAGAGAAAACAGTATTGCCTTGGTCATCCCCCTCCGATTCCTCAGACAACTCCATGATAGGGCTGGGTTTCCCTGGCATGAATCCCATAAAGCCATCAGGGGTCCTGGTCATGAGGTCATAGCTGACCTCCTCAGAGCTTGGGGTCTCCGGTGTAAGGGGGCTTTTCCCTGAGCTGTCTATGAACGACACCTGTTCAAGTGTGTCATCATCTGGGCTTATGGGGCTGAGTGCTGAGTTTGAATTTTGTTTGACAGTGTACAGTGCTCCTTTCGCCTCCCTCTCTGCTTGCCTGCCCACCTGGACACTGACATAAACAGGTAATGTTTTGATGCCCTTGAAGTTCTCTTTGGTTGTTATAGCAGCTGGAGGAGTTATGACATTCCCCAGCATTTCTCTAGGGCTAGTGAGATTATTGGAGTTGGAATCTTTGAGTGCGTTATCTAGAATTTCAATGGATAGATTTTCATTGGTTTTTTTCGCTGGGGTTGTCTCAAGACTCATCTGCATTTTGCTTTTCGATAATGTTGGTATCTGTGAGGGTCTAGTTATTGTCTGTTTCTTTGTGAGGTCATTGTCTACTGTAGAGACTGCTTTTCTTATAGGAATTTGAGATTCTGTCTTTCTTCTGAGATTTTTGTTTAATGGTTCCTCGTCATCTTCTTTGGGCAGCTCGGCTATTAATTTTTTGGATGCAGACTCACTTTTTGTGATTTGTTGATATTTTATGGTATTACTATCTATTAGTTTGTCAGCATGAACAACAGGTGTCGGAAATTTCTGACCTTTATTGCTTTCTTTAATTTCCTGAGTAACACTAGAATGAATATCTCTCCCTTTTGTAGTTGCTTTGTCAATCTCAACTTCACTAATTTGTCTCTGGAAGGAAGCCTCTGGGATGTTGTTATTTGATAGTTTGTCTCCTGTATGTTTTGGGGGTTTAGGTGTGGGTGTTAGAGAAGGTTTACTACTATCTAATGTAGCAGATTTGTCCTTTTCAACATCATTTTTCATGCTATCGTCTTCTGATGACACATTTGACGCTTTTCCTCCTGCAAAAAACTGTAACACTGGAAGTTTGCTGTCCTGTAATTTTTTAACTGAAGGTTTCGGCTGTACTGGAGGAGGAATTTTGATCGGACTAGACTGACTTTGTTTCTGAGCCTCAGATTCAAACTTCATCCTCACAGAACTGACTTTAGATGTTGATTTTACGTGAGAGGGAGAAGAGGGTTCCGACTCACTGGTCTTAGTTTGTTGTTTCATTTTATTGTCACTCATACAAGAGAGCACGGTTTTCTGAGGGCTGCTTGGTAAGCTAGAACTTTTCTTTTCAGCTATTGTGGGGCTGTCAAGCATTTTAACAACTGAGGGCTCTCTGAGTTTGCTTTTACCTTCTTCTCCTGCCTTAGGTTTCTGCTGTATTTTTTCAGGGCTACTGCAGGCTGAACTAGGCCAAGATCTGGGCTCCTTTGAATCCCGTCTCACAGGCTTTTTCTCAGGGGACTGCAACTCATCATTAAGCTTCTCAGTTTTGTCACGGAAGAACTGTGATACCTCACTGAGTTTTTCTTCAGCTTCTTTAACAGTTTGGTCCACCCTATCCTCATAAAGGAGCTTATCCCTGCTCCTGTCATGTTTATCCTCTGTAAATCGCATCCAAACTGCATGCTTGGGGCTGCCCTGTTCTGTGGAGTAATGAAGCACTGTCACTTTGTCAAACTGAGATGGGTCATCCCTGTGCAAGAATTTTCCAGATTTAGCGGACCCATCTTTTGATGACTTAGAGACAAACTCTCTTTTGGGGCTTCCACGCTGCTGACTCATGCTATTAGAACTATGACTACCGATCTCTTCGGAAATAAAGTGTTGGTTTCTGTCAGTCATCACAGTTGAATCCTCTGTGTCAGAGTGAGACAGTGAAGACACGTCAAGTTTTTCTGACAGAAGCATTTTCTCCGCAAACTTATATGACTCTCCTCTGATCTCTGACAGCTCATCATCACAGTATTCTATGGATTGCTGGCTCAATAGTTTGAGGGCTTTATAAGAATCATCTGCTATTAGCTGAGCAGAGCTCGGACGACTGTCTTCTTCATGTGACACTGGGGTGTTAACTCGGGATGTTTCCAGGAAAGAGGGCAGGGATTCTTCGGCAGTAAGCTCCTCTTCTTCCTGTTGGACCTCATCGTAATCACCAAGTTCTCTAATTCCACGATCCCCTTTGTAGACATAAAGCTCAGGGTGTTTTTTAGTTTCCCTGATAATGACCTCAGTTGGCTCTGCTGTGCTGTGGCCCTTTTCGATATGGACCTCAATTATTCTTTCGACTTTTGGTTTGGATTTAATGTCTCTGTCTAGAAATCTAGGAGTCAACTCATCACCTTTGACAGAATCCTGACTAGCCTTGTGTTCAAAAAGACCTGCCAGTTCTTTAGATGGGTCCCTCCCTGACTGGAAAGCTTTCATGATATCTCTGACCGACATACCTTCCTCTATCATCTCTGCACCATCAGTCAGTTGGGGCTTGTGATAGACCATTCTAGTGGTAGTAGTAATATGAGTTTCCTCTTTAAGACACATGCTTTTGTTCATCATGGAGTCCTCTTCTGGTATTTTCATCTGTAAGGCTTTGGTGCAGCTTGTTGAAGCTGCATCTGGAGCTATACAAGGAGGGGCAGATGCAGCCTCCTCCATGAGTAGAGGCTCACAAAGATCATCAGGCTGCTCATAGCTCCTAATGTGGACCACCTCAGTCCTGGTCTCAGTTACACAGGGAGGGATAGGTGAATCTGTGAACAGAGGCTTTGGTCCTGTGCTCTCTGCACTCTGAGGAGCAGAGGGTGTCTTTTCACTCCTTGTCTCAAACCCACTGTCTGACAGTGGACTCTTATCTTGCTCATGAGACAGCTCCTCAGGAGACTCCAAAATAGTGTCCGAACCTTGATATGACTCTGTAAGTTTGCTTAGGTCCTTCTCTGAGGGAGACCTTAGCATGCCTGAGACTGGTGGAGGCATTTTGAGTTTGTGCTCTTGTATGGACATAGATGGCTTGAGAACACGTTTCTGTTTCTCTTCGCCTTCCCTTCTTGCCTCCTCCTCATACCGAAATTTTAATTCGTTCATTTTTGAGAGAGAGCTGGCGCCAATGTCATTTGTTAAAAAATCTACTACTTTAGCCAACTCTAACTCTTTGCTTGACATGGATTGTTGTTTGAGAAGGAGTGTGTTTTCATCAAATGGAGGGTAATAGTCTGTGATAGCACTTCTTTGTGCCTCCTCAATCTCATCTTTGGAAAATTCCTCCCATTCATCCTCTGAGGCTCTCTCTTTACTGACAATGGTCTTACCTCCACCCACAATATCTTTCTGTAATAGCTCACTGACTTTCACTAAATCTTCTTTCACTTTCTCCACTAAAGTATATGGCTCTTCATCCTCTAACTTGGGTTCTTTTGGAGTGCCAGTATGTGATGTCTGAACAGTTTTGGCGGCTGTCTGTGTGTCTGTCTGAAGGATAGCTGTCATTCTGATCAGATCCTCTTTCATGTCCGCTACATCTTTTAATATCTCCTGGTTGGAAGTTGCTGTTGGGTGAATGATGGATGGTGTGATAAACGGTGGGGATTTCAATTGGGAATTTATTTTTGATGTGGTAACACATGTCGACAAAGAGGACAATGATGAGGAGGCACGAGGGGAATCCGGCAGTGCCATTTTGAGAGATCCTGGCCCTGATTTGACAGGGGTCTCTGGGATCATGTTGAGCAACGAATACACAGGTACAGTCACCGTATTAGATGAAACTGTCGAGTTGGAAGAAGTAGCTCCAGATCTCATAGAACCGTAAGCAGAGCTTGTTGTTGCAGATTTACGTGAGGCGGACAGTGATTTAAGAGTGCCATAGCCCGAAACAGAGTATGAGTCTATAGCTTCATTGATGGCAGCACTGACACCAGAAGTTGCTGCCTGGGTGGTGGCCTGGATCCTCTCCTGTAGACTGCAACTCCTCTCAGATAGAAGACGTGAAGAAGAGGAGGATGGTGTGGAGGAGGAGGATGGGTATTTAACAGGTGAGACTGATCCATTTATCATTTCTGAATACAGTTCTGAGGAAGCAATGGTTGTTTGCCCGGTTGAGGAGAGAGATGAGACGGTTGATCTCCCTCCCTGGGATGAAAGTGTTGAATCTACACAAGTTTTCAAAGAAGACAGGCTAGAGATGCTTTTGACAGAAGGAAGGTTAGATGCCCCTGGATCTGTCACAACTGTTGAGCCAAGGGCAGTTTTAAAAGGTAGATTAGCATTGTACATGTTGTAAAGTGTCTTTGGTGATGCTGGAGCAGTAATAGGAGCTGATGACCTCTCTGGCACAGAACCATTGGGTATTGAGTGAAGTGGGGAAGTCCTTGATGTGTATGCAGAAGCAAGGTTCTTGATAGAAGCTGGATCTGTCCCAGATTTATGGGGGCTTCCAGAGGACACGAGGCTGGCAGATCCCTGGACAGGGTATTGACCCTGCTGGACAACGGTTTTAATGGGCGAAGGCATAGTCCTGTAGGACCTGATGGGGGATGAGGTCACTATGTCACTAAATGATTTAACTGGGGATGACAGGTTAGGTGGTGCTGGTGGTGGAGCTCCCAGGGTGGCTTTGATAGTTGCAGCGCATGCAGGTGATGGGGAGGCGAGGGGCCAGGTAGATTTCAATGGAGAAGCAGCTGGCGAGGCTGCCGGTGAATCGGTAGAGGTGAGGGAACCCCCCATTCCGATGTGCCTTGTTTGGCCAGGGACGGTAATAGGAGCAGTCGACCATGGTGGGTAAGGTCTGGTTGGAAAGACAGGTTTGTGAGGGTAACCAGCAGGCAGTGTTCTTGCGGTTGCGCTTCGCTCAACTGCTGTTTCTTCAGATGAAATAGTAGAAATAATGGTGAAGAAGGAATGGAAAAAATAATCAAAAGAATGTGGAGTAGTAAAGGTAACAGAAAATTATGTTGGGGAAGGGAAAGGAAGAAAAAGAACGTGAAAGAAGAGATCAAAGGAGGAAGAGTTGGTCAGTGAGGCAATTCTGGTATCAAGGAAGGAAAAACAGCAGTTTTAAGAAGTGCTTTAAAAAGAAATAGAAAGAAAATGTTGTGTTCCTGTGTGATTGGAGATTGGATGATGACTCAAAGAGCAACAGCAACGACACAATGAATAAACTGAACAAAGCACATTCAGCAGCAAAGTAAAACAACCGAGACAATGGGATAGACTAAACTGACAACAGAAAAATGGTAAGACAAATGCACCAGGAATAACACAAAACAACTTGTTTTTTCTGGATTTCAGATGATGTTGTATTGTATGGATTCTGGCTCTAATTTCAATCTGCTTTTAAAAGTGCCTTTTATCTGTTTGGTCCAATACCATGATGACAGATTCCCCAAAGACAATTTGGACACTATCATTCAACAGAGCCAAGGGCTACAGAACTTTAAATGTTCTATTCAATACATAAACAAAATATGACAAAAAGATTTTTGGCCCATTTTGTCATGCAAGATCCATAACTGGTGACAAGCAGAGAGCGTGAAAAACTGAAAAGACAAACCTGAAAGAAAGCCAAACTCAAGACCTCCTCACATGCATTTTGTCCCACAAATAGCTGCTAAATCACAAAGCCAAAAAACAGCTTTAACCCCAGAATGGACAAATGAAAAACAAATTTTTACTTTGACCTCCTTTCAAGAGGCCCATTCACATTGTGATCGCAAGTCAAAGAAATTTTTTTTTTGATGTTGCTGCATTTTGACTTCTCAAACTCAGCAATGGAAACAAACCCAGAAAGAGTACAACTCATAACGTGGGCAAGCACAGCACAACAACTTAAAAACCACTCATTGACCCATGCAAGAACATGTACCATGTCATTAACAAGCATGTGGACAGTGCAAGTCATGTAGAATGAGAAATATGCATTGATTCCATTAATTAAGTCACATCTATCTACATACTGATCACGCATTTTACAGGTTAAGTAAAAGTGTTAATAATGTAAAGTCACTAATCCCGGGAAAGTTGGCATACTTATATTCATCATATGGTTTGTTAGTGAAAATGTTAAACTCACTCAGTGCAGGCTCGGCCAGATAGCTGTAGCGCTTACGTAAGGCTAGAGATGCAAAGGTATGACGTCGCTCTGGCTTTTCAGTCTGCAACAATAGTAAACAACACAAAATCCTTTCAGTTCTCGGTCACCCTATGTTGTATAATGCTGCCAAATGAGCAACATTAGGACCTTATCATATAAAATTAAAGCACACCCAATAACCCTACATGAGTTGGTATTAATTTAACAACAAAGCTACAGGAGCAAATTCTTCTTTAACGTGCTGCTTACAGTAAGTGTAAGCAAGTTAAGCCAAGCTTGTCAATTAGCTTGAGTTAGTCGTGACGATGCTAACTCTCAATTATAAGGATTAAAAGAGAAAAATAATCAACTTTAAAGTAATGTTAAAGGTTAAATATTGACTGAAAAACAATGGAACTTAAGTATTTCTAATCTTAAAAGCCATTTATATCACGTAATGTAGAACGCAAAGATATCGCACTGGACATAAATCATATCTTTTCATATCTTTAATACAGTATATCATGCAATATATAGCTGCTAAAGGTTGCTATGAACAAGGAAAGCTTTTATTTCCCTAGGAGAAGCGGAAAGAATAATGCTATGATGAGCAGGGCCACTAGAGATCTAGCGCAGAGGCAGCACATGGTGGGGAGGGTGTGGTTTACCTCATCCTCGGCATCTGACTCCATTTCCTGGTTCCCAAGATGCATTGCAGAAACGAAGGGGGAGTAACATAAGATGGAAAGCAGGGGGAAAAGAAACATCAGGGTGTGAAAAAGGAGTGAGTGATAGAAGCTACAAGTCAGAAGCCACTTCAGCAAATGAAAAAATAATTTAAAAAAAACACCAAACACACCAAAATAAGAAAAAAGTACAATGCGCCAACACTCAGGAGCAAGAACAGCAAATGAACTCAAGCCACAAAAAGCCAGCCGAAGAATCAAAAGAAGCCCTTAGCCAAAAGCAAGTCATCCAAATCAAAAGATAGGAATATAATGAAACAGCCAATGACAAGAATCCACAGCGTAAAAATCCAATATACACAGAGAGAAACTTTAAACAGATAAAAGACACGGTGGTGGCAGTTTGGCCAAAGTCTTTCTCTGTCTTTCATCGTTCGGTGTTATTGGGGCCGTAACTACCCTGAACATGAGTATGGACATGAAGGTGAAAACAGAAAATGGTGAGTTCACGCTACTTTACCTTTTTCACCGCAGGAAGCGTGATGTTCAGGTTGCACACGGCCGTTTGCGGAAGGCCTTTTATGTTCTTACACTCTTTGAGGAAAGTGAGACGACCGCAGGGCTCCTGGCTCGGGTCTCTCACCTGCAGGGAAAACATTGCCTCATGTAGCTCGTATCTTTATAAGGCAGTAGTCACTGCTGATTAGTCGACCCATATAAAATAATCAGGGATGATTTTTATCATCAATTCATAAAAATAAAAAAAAATAGTCGTAAATTGTCAAAGTTCTCTGGCCCCAGCTTCTCAAATGAAAATTGGATAATGCAAAAGGATTGATTATGGATAGATTCAGTTAATGGGTCAATCGTTCACATGTTATCTAGCTGTGGGGAGGGGAACTAGGTCACACCCAGTGGATCCAGTTGATTCCATTGGAAGCTTGTGTGGGAAGAGTAGGGCACCAAAGGAAACTAAATAATCACAGCAACAAAATCAAACATACTTCTACTGAAATTTTTACTGTCCGCTACTGTACTCTGTTAAACCTCATTAAAACCTGGTATTAATATCTGTCCCGAGGGATCCAGCACTGCTGAACAGAGCGACAACAAAGTGACTTTTGGTGATTTAGCGATCAACCTTCCACCCTGAGAAGGATGTGATGTAGACGACGATGACAGAGTGTATGTTGTGGTACCTTGACACAGAAGGGCAAACGGTTCTCCTTGAAGGCGTAGAAGTTGAGAACTAACTGCTGACCAGATTTAGTCAGAGGAGATACGTTTCCATAGCAGTCCACATAGATGGGCCTGCCCTCCAGAACCTGAGGGTGGTTCAACAACAGTAAGAACCACATTCAAAAACAAGGCAATGCAATTTATAGATATTGAATAGCTTATAAACCACAGATTAATATTCACCTCTATGTCTTTGCTCCTGGCCACCTCCTCAAAGTTTTCCTGCTGCTCCAGGGTCTTATCCACCTTGTCATCCGTCATACAGAAGCACCTCAGTCTGGACTCCACCGGGTCATTCGTCTTAGCAAACACTACGAACTTGGCCATGTAGGGCACGCAGATCAGTTCTCTGTACAGCTGCATGGCCAAACCCACCGTCTCTGGGATCTGGTGACAGTCAGCCAACCAGAACCTGCACAAGTTACAAACACGATGAAGAACATTGCACACACACTAACACAGATGAAATGACACGGTCGCTTGCTTGTTGTGTTGTCGGACCTTGCAGAAACATTGGTGGTGAAGGAGACGCAGTCACTGATGAAGGTAAGAGGAGTTGTGCCGGTGATGTCTTCCCACTGTGCCGGGGACGTTCCACCTGGGAGAAAGTCACACTTCACTATCCTGAAGATAATGTGATCAATCATTCTTTGTCTGGTTTCACTTTTACGCTACTAGTTTTGTGTTTTTGCGTTCTTTGTTCTTATTGTTCTTTTATATGCATGTAGGTATGTATTCTGTACTTGTGCTGTTGCATGAACCCCGTGTGATTTCATGTCTGTGGCGTCACACTCACCTGTAATGCTGCAGAGAAGGCGAAGGCAGGGGGTGCAGTCTCCTTTGTAGCCGTTGGTAAGCCCCTCCCCTGAGAGGGGCGGGACTGGGATTGTCATGGTGATGGGTTTGTGGAACTTCCGTCTCCTGGGCTCCACGGTAACGATAGGACTGAAGGTTGCTCGGTTACCAAGGATTTTCTTAACAGTATCATCGGGTACTGGTTGGGCCTGAGAGAGAAGAGGCAGTGGTCAATGAGAGATGTGTGTTGGCTGCTAATGCTAATTCTACTACAACTAACTACAACTGCTGCTAATGCTAATATTACTGGAAGAGCAACAAACTACTAATGCTAACACTGCTGCTACTTGTGCTAATGCCACCTGCTGCTGTCAACGGGATCAACCTGAATCCCTTTACTCACCTGCAGTCCAACCTTGATCTTCTTGGTTAGCGCCCCCTCAGGAAAGGAGGCCTGAACCAATGGGACGCTCCGGCTATACAGCGTCCCGCCCTCTGGTCCCATGTGATTGGTCTCCTGTCTTATCCGAGACACCACAGCAAAGTACTGTGGGAAGTCCTTAGTGATGATGCGGCATATCCTCTTCCTCTCCAGCTCCTCAGCACTTTCCAGTTCTTCAGGGGAGGAAGACACATTTATTATTTATCATTATTAATTTGACATTATTAATTGGGCCTCAAACCAAGAAAGGCACATATCAGAGGACATTTAGGCTACGAACACTTTGTAAATGACACAGTTTCGAATTGAAATAGTCTGCTTTACCTTCATCCATTCCATTCAGGAGCTGATTGAGGTCATCACTCTTACAGTCGTACAGATGCTCCTTCCAGGTTTCTCCGTTCTCACTCCGCAGCAGGATCAGCTCTCTCTCCTGGCCCCGCATCGAGCCAAAATGAGGGATCTCCACTATCACTGGCCTAGTGAGGTACACGTCATGGAGACACTGTTAGCAACAAGTAAACCACAACAAAATAGTTCTACCTTACAATATGTCCTGAGCGAGTAAGTGAGTAAGATAGTTTTGTTCTTTTTCAAAACCATGACACAACAAAACTAAAGCAAAATGAATTCAATAACTCTGTTCCTAAAACCTACCGATAAAGACAAATATGAATCAGGAACGTTCAGGGGTATGAATGAACTGTGGTCCTGCTGGTGACAGTGTTGCTTCGTAATGAAAGCTGTGGCGGTGCTGCAGTTCAATGAGACGTTCACAGTGCATGTCATGGCTCAACATGACGTGAGGACACACATGAAATGGACGACGCAGGAGTGGGAGGAGAAAGCTGCACAGCCCTTACTCAAATAACAAGGCAAGACAGCAACACAAGAGAGAAGGATGAACGTACTCTATCATGAGGACCGAGTGGTCTTAGGGTCGCTCAGAGTAGAGTAGAAGACAATAAAATACCCACTGTGAAGGTACCAGAGGAATTATATTCAGTCATCATCAAATGTAGACGTGTTCTCTCATGAACTTTTACATGACCTGGTTCAAACACTTTTCCAACCTGAGGTCTATCTCACTCATGTTAATGTGAATCAAAAAACAAAATCCCTCCACCAATGTCTCTGAAAGTTATTTACACACAAAATACACCATGAGATGACATAGACCTTAAAGGTGACGTAAAGAAACAGCGGTCATGGTGAAGCAGGATGATGCTTGACTTGAGGAGGAAAAGGCTCATGCCCAACAAGCGCAGTCCAGTCCAAACAGCCAATCAAAACCTTTACTTTCAGTGATGTCAGAGGCTCACTGAAAGCCTCTGAAATCAAAACATACGATGGTCTCTAAATGAAAGTAACTGCAATGGATTTTCAACTATATTGTGTAGTTTTAGGAAGAACTTGATTATTTTTCTCTCCCTGTAAATAAATTACTTAGGCTAATACGAATCCACTTGACTTCCTCCATCTTAATTCATGTAAGTCTTCCTGAATAACTGTTGGTTGAAGACCTCTGTTTAAAGCAACACTATGCAACTTTTTTTTTTACCTTAAACCAGCAGCTACAAAATGAGTTTGATGGTTCAGACTGTGAATATCGAGAATGATTCCTCTGTCTGTAACTTTGATGAGTGGGAACGGTCCCTTGTGCTTAATGGAAAACCAGAGGATCCCGTAAATTATCTAGACTGTGGCGACCTGCCATGTTCTAATATGTTCTTCCACAGTCTTGTCATAATAACATAGAGAGTTAGAGATCTCTAACAGGGGGCTAAGAAAAGTTGTTAACATCCACGCAGACCTCATAATTTCAGCTTCACTTGTACCCACAATGCCGTTCTCACACGAGTCTTTCAGTCTTTATTGCTGTGCATCTGTCACTCAAAATCTGTTGCACGTGAGAGCGACGTTCGTACGTGCGCACATGCAACCCCTCCACCACCGCAGATTGAATCTATTCTGTGGGAAAACGCTTTCTGTAACCGACAGATAGTCGCAACTTCAATTGTCAAAATCAGGTCCAGCGAGTTGAAGAGTGAAGCTGAACTGTAGATCAGTTAAAAAGAGGGCGCTGTTGCTCAGTAAAAGTCACATAGTGTTGCTTTAAAACGATCAGAAAGTTGTGCGAATCCTCACCATGTCATTGATTTCTTCCCAAAACTACATGGCAACCATAAACTATTAATGCTGAATCCCGACAAATCAAAGTCAACGGAGATGAGTAAAATAATCAAATCCATCAGCATGAATCACACTCCTTAACGGGAGGTGGGAGGTACAGGAGGGAGAGGAGCAGGTGGTGAGGTTGAGGGAGTTGGGAGGGGGGGGGTGCTATGTTTGGTTCCTACCCAACAAATCTAGTTCCTCTGGGTCCCAGCTGTAGCACTGGACTAACCAGGCTCTCGCCTTCATTAAGGGCTGGCAGCTTTCTGGGAAGATGTAGTTTACTGTGTCCGCAAAATAATAAAACACACATATACACAAAAAACACACTGGCAGCGTCAGTAAGAGCACACACCACCGAAGTCCAGTTTCAGTAATGAGGTGATTTATGTTATGCCCTTATTGACAGAAGTTATGGCAACTACTCACAGATACTATATAAATACCATGGCAACTGAGAATACTTGATTTGGATTGGCTGGCAGGAGTGGATTTATTTTTAGTAACTGCACTGTATAACCAGACACCTCTGAGGACAGAGCTTGTTAGTTGTCCTTAAATGACGACGCCACTATTGAACTGTGGGTAAAGACAGCAGCAGTGAGGCTTAGTTAGAGAACTCGCACCTAAGGTTATTTACGTAACCAACAAAATAAAAATAGACAAGCAGCTGCATTGAATTTAATTTCAAGTGTGTTTTAAAACAACTTCAACAATCTGGGAGCCGTGGGTGTTGCGTTTCCACTTCCTCCCACTGTACAAAAGAGAAGCCAAAACATCCCGGATATGAACGTTGCCATCTTCGGCTAATCGCATGATTCGGAGGCAGAGTCTGTGCAGCAGTCAACATGGTTTAGAGAGGCAGTATCAAGATCACATGGATATACACACTCAACCAAACGTCAATCCTGACGTTTCACACTGTTTTTATAGCATCAAATAACTCATTAAAACCAAACTTATCAGAAACACGAACATCGGAACAAACATCAACTACCTAATATTATTATAATTACTGCAAATGCACAGACTCCACTGTAATTGCAGTTTGTGTCTCAACACTGAAACCAAGTTCAGAAACATCTGGTTAGTGTTTTGGAAAATTTAAACTATAATTACCTCGGCCAAAGTGTCTTCACTCGTCTGTTTGTTTGTTTATAAGCAAGATTACACACGAACAACTGAACAGATTTCCACTGAATCTGCTGGAAGGATGTAATGTGACTCACAGAAGAACCTGGGGCGGATCCAGGACATTTTTATTCCACTTTCTTTTATTGGAGATTTTTTGACATTTCAACATTTTCACCAGGAATATTTCATAATTCATGGAACTTGATTAAACTCCTTGGCGGAGGTATGCGCTCTACTGACACTCTAGGTAAAAGTTATAGTGAATAATGATCACATATTTCTTTCTGTTCAATCTACATGTATGCACAGCTTACATCTGATAAGGATGTTGCCTGTACTTTGTCAGAGTGAAACACAGCTGGACGACTTGCTTGAGGGTGAACATACGGTAACAATTACTGCAAATTAACTGCAAACTAAACTGCAGGTATCACAGCTCAACACACACACACACACACACACACACACACACACNCACACACACACACACACACACACACACACACACACACACACACACACTCTCAAATCTGAACGCAGATGGCAGGAAATGAACATGGCAAGAAGCGGAGGGAAGGAGATGTCACCGAACCAAAGTGCAGAAAAATGAGCAGTTCAGCAAAAAGCAAAATCTGTGGGATTAAAAAAAAAGTCTCACCCGAGGAACTGAGCTCCTGCCGGACCGACCTCGACCAGTCGGCTGGCCAGGCCTTCTCCTTCCACCATCGGAGGAGGCGATGCAAGTTTGTGCCTCTTCACCAGTCGACACGTGATCCTGGTGGGCGCCGTGCACTTTCTCGGCGGGATGATGATGCGCATGCCGTTGTGACGACTTCCCCTCATGGAGCCGCCCCTGGCGTCGACCATGAAGCTGACCAAGAACCTGAGGGAGCACGACAGAGGGAGAGACGAGGAAGAGACAGAGTGGTAGAGAGAGAAAAAGTGAAGCAGAGATATAATAGTGGAAGAAAGTGTGGGGGAGGAAGATAACCAGAGAGGGAAGGAATGGAAAAATAAGTAAAATATACAATCACGTTAGTAAAACTGCAGTAACTGATGGAGAGAGAGGAGCTATAGTTGAGGTGATTGCTTCCCATGCTGTGATCCTCAAAACACACACAAAGTATGTGTGAGCAAAATAGAAGAGAACAACAGATGTGTGAGGAGGTTTCTGTGTTGGTACGGCCGCAGAGGTGGAAAATAACAAAACACCACCTCGACAAGTAGAAGTCGAAGTGAATAAGTTTTTACTCAGCCAAGATACCAACACAGGAGCCTCCAGCATATCCTGAACTATACCAGAGGGTTGTATAGACCTGTGTGCCTCTCATCACGTCACTCACACACCATGCAATCCGTCAACTCAGAGATGTCGTGTTAGTTTCTGCTGAACAAAAAGCAGAGATTCTAAAACACACAGACAAACACCTGTTGTGAAATATTCCTCACAGGGTGGTTCTTATCGAGGTTAACTGATCCGTCTGAGGAGATCGTAAAAACATCCAGATCCACGTCACTCCAATCACAACAAAGTCTCACTCCGATCAGTCATAAGCTGTTTTCAGACACGAACTGAAGTCCAGATATTTTCCTAAACTTTTCCGTACGTGAGAATACAAACTTCCCAGTCGGACTTTTTTCTACCAGGCCCCTCGTAGAATGTCCGAGTGAGCCGATGTCGGAACGTGTTGTTGCACGTTGATGACGTTTCTTACTCTGACACAAATATCTCAGGATGAAAAAGAAGAGCCGGACACGTCAACTTGGAAACACAACGGGATTCGAGAGCCTTGGTGAAGATGACATGTCCTGAATCGAACTCAACTCGAACAATTTCCTGCTACGGTCTTTCAATTTCTGGACCACACGTCTGAAAACAGCCACAGACTCACAAGGATTTCTGAAAACACACAAGTCTGCAACAACACAGTTCACACGTGAGGAGAACAAACACTGATGTTATGAGTGAACACAGAGGGGGGGGGGGCGTGATGTCACCAGGAACAAGGTAGTGGTGGTGATAAAGAGGGCAACCAATCACAGTCAATCACCTGCTGTCGTACTGCGGGAGCGGAGAGGAAAAACTGCAGGATGGACAACAAAGCAACGCAGGAGTGACAGGTCAACAACAGAGCTCTGAGAGAACCACTGAGGACGACTGAGTCCTTTAAATGAAGCTAGTTTGATACCAAGGACATCTGCTAACAAGCTTCACATTTTAAAAATAACACACAAACACAGACGGTGAAGAGAAACTGCTGCAGGTAGGAGACGTTTTCTCGAGGGGAAACAAAATGATGAAGAGAGTACTGGCAAGACAGACATAAAGACAGACATAAAGACAGACAGACAGACAGACAGACAGACAGACAGAGGGACAGATAATAAAACAAGAAGGTGGAAACAAAGTCAAGCACTTGTCTCCTTCCCTTCCTGCCTCCTCCTTTCTCTCTAAAGGCTGAAAACAGTTTTCTTCACACATTCGTTCTTTCACACGCACTCACCCAGAGTGTATCGGCGAGGAGACAAGGTTGACGTTATCCAGAGCATCTGTCGTCCAGCTGTACCTCCTCAGAGAGTCGCTGTCAAAGTCCTTGGCCACCGCCAAATGCTGCGGAGTCGGTGAAACAGACATCGCAGAGGGTTAAGTAAATGCACAAGTGTTTGAGAGGGTGGAGAAATGAAAACAAATAATGGTAAAACACCAAGACGGCAGACACTTAAATAAATAAAAAGAATGTGAGACGTGAAAGTTTAAAGATGGGAGGATGAGAACCAGTTAACTTTATCAATAATGAACCGATACACATGCTCTAATATAAACTGCAACAACGGAAGTGGAAAACAATATTGTGATACATGAATGAATATAAAATATGAGAGGCACATTCTCACATGCACTGACAGAAGCATGACGACAGGAACATCTACCTTATTGTGCTGCTCTAGAATGAAAGACTTTTCCTTACGGAGCATCTGCAGCAGCGTGAGGAGAGACGAGCTGTTGTTTAGCACGAATCACTCATCACAACACCGTGTTGTAGCACTGGATGTTACACATTTACTAAAGACGACACACGTACTATAGTGCTTTTGGACTCAGTCTAAAAATATTAAATGTACCTATTATAACACGAGGAAAGCAAAAGCAGAAAGATGTCATTTCATTTGAGAGCCTGGAAGAGCTGGTTCAGTATTTCTGCTTAAAAAAGTCATAAAACTTCTCTGCTGATTTATTAATTGATTAATTGACTTTACTTTACTTTTATTTTAGACCTATGTAGTATGTACAGATAACAGAGTCCCAGAATTACTTACACTTCCCCATGATTAAGACGAAGAAGCTGAAAAGACATTAACCCTGGAGACTTTACATTATCTCTCAAACCACAGAGTTAAATGAGTTTCATGTACAAGTCAGCTCCGACCTGTGCAAACTCCCTTCAGCCCGAATCATGAGCTGCAGCGTCACAGGGTTTTTGACTCTGCTTGGAGACGTGGAGGTTAAAATCCGTGGGAAACTTTCCACGATAAGTTTCACCTACTTTACTTCAAGTGTCATTTTGCTGCGTCCATAAAGTTAAGTGGGCCACTGGAGTAATCCCTCTTAGATAGCAGCACCAACCGCTAATCTCATTTCCTCTTTCAGTAAAATGTAACGGGATTGGTCGTCTTCATGTCAGCACCAACCAGGGCCTAAGAGGATTGGTGAACAGCCCGAGCTTTTGGCACAGCACCAAGGCAGCTTGGCACATTTAGAGACTGAAGCGTGTCTCGTGTGAAGTTAATGACCTGCAGATCATTGGCCGAGAGAGAACCACAGACGCATAGAAACAAACAGACACAAAGCACGGGCAACTTTAAATAGTGCACACTGCGTACGTACCATCTCCTTATTGGGCGCCAGCATCTCCTCGATCATCATGCTGTCCCGGGTGAACGAGCTGCGGTTCAGCGTGTTGGACCTATCAGAACTGAAGGAACGCAGGCTTGGTGTGGTTGCCGTAGCAGTCACGGGTTACCAAGACAACAGTCACAATGATGGAGAGGGGAGGTGAGGAGGAGGTGGGCGTAAGGGGAGGGTATGAAAGTGAACAGAAAAAACAAAAACAAACACAAACACATTAAATTGCATGCAGCTTCCAGGAACCTGACTGTGTGTCACCAGTGACAACAGCAACCACAAGACGAGTCTGAGGTCAGAAAAATATCTCAAGAACTAAATAAACTGATAGAATCCTGATCAAATGCAGCTGTATGTATTTTCCAAATAATAAAAAAGACCACAACAATCGATGAATGTTTATTCTTAGAGTAATAACCTGTAGTAGTCTTTCAGTTTGAGAGCAGGACCTTTTGACAGACCCAGCACTTGCACTCAAATTTCCTGCACTCCAGCTTCAGCTCTTCTCTTCACGCCGCTTCTGTGCCTGTGAAATGTCGACTCTCTGATTTTTACTGTGCGCTTGAATTATTTTTGAATTGCCAAATCAACAGGACGCCAGGACAAGTGAAACTGTCCCGCTCTTTATGTGGGAGCGTTAGCTTTATGTCTACTGAGACAACGACGACGCCTTCATGGAGCAGGAGTCGAGCAAAAAGTTATAATACGAGAACTGCAATCATAAAAACAAGATAAGTCCCCTGTTTCTTTTTTCCCCGACAGTACACAGAGCTAAAGTAACTGAAACGAGGGCGAGGTCATTTCATTCCTCATCACTATACCAGACAAGTTGCACAAATTCAATCCCAAGAGCGGAGGACAACATGGCGTCAATCTCTCAAACTGAAAGACCACGCTCTGGAAAAAAACGATAGAATGGATTTTTCCCATCTTCACCTGAACTCCTCACACCAACCCGTGCAGCACACGGTCTGAATGTCCTGAGTGAAACAGCTTATGAAAGTTAAGCAGATTACTGTATGATGGACAATGGACGCAGCACTGGGACAGGGAGCGTGTACTGACGTCATGATGAAATGACTCAAACTTTGATATTTTTTTAATGATGAGTCCAAGTTTGTAAGTTTCCTCGGCGACTGGGATGTTGAGTTTTTATGACGCAAGTGAAGAGAATTCCTCAGCAGTGACGAATGTTTGCTTCAAAACTAGCAAATAAATACGTCTGCGCTCAGAGGAAGGTCTCTGCAACACAACACGACATTCTCTATATACGTCAAAGCTGTGGAAGCTGATGTTCTTCTTCATGCTGAAAGATGGATTTTGGTCTCAGAGCTGAATAAATACAGGTTTGATTGGACAGTCTAACAACAGCGTCTGCTAATCACTTCCCCCTAGTGTCCTGGAGGTGAAGTAATTTTTGTTGAAGTTGAATGTTTGTGTTTCTCTTTTGTACATTATTCATGACTGATGCTGTAAAGATATTAAAACACCTGAGAGTTAAATTTAAGACATTATGATAAAAGGGAATGTTTGAGTCCCACACAGACGACACACAGAGACACTACAAACTATTTATGCTGCCAGAACATCTCCGTTAAAAACAAATCTCTCAAGTAACTCATTTTAAAGAAGAAGAAGCGTTAAATCAATAATAAATAATAATTGAAAACATATATGTCCACTTCCTCCATTTTGTGAATATTCTTGTTTTTAACTGTATGTGTTAGGACAGACGGTTCCGATCATTGCTCCTGTCTGATCTTTGTCGTAAAGCATAAGACACTAAACTGATGGAGGCAAAGCAAATATCAGCTCAGGTCCCTGGAAGCTCGGAAGAGGAAATATTCCACACAGAAACCAAAATGATGCAAAGCTCCACCTTTGTGGCAAACGCACAAAAACCCCAGGCGTGAATGAAACAGTCACCACAGTCAAAACACACAGAAGCAAACACAACAGGGGATTCACTGCAAGCAAAGATGGAGCTTTTCTTTTTTTTTTTTAAAGAACCACAGGACGCGACACACAGTGCCCGATGTTAACATACAACAGTGTTAAAATCAAAACACATCAACTGCTCAAAATCATTGAGTTAGTAGTCAAACACACACACACAGTAAATATGTGTTACACTGAGCCACAAAGTCATGATATTGATAGCGACTGGGGTCTGGGGGTGTGCGAGGTGCAGGGGGGAGGGGGGAGGGAAAGGTGCGAGGCGGGGAGGGGGAGGGAGGGAGGGAGGGAGGGAGGCCTCTTCATGCCTTCAGCCTTACCTGACTTTGGGACTAACGTTAAGAATGGACATGAGGAGAGAATAAAAGATTGTGAACAAACAGAGGACTGGATAGAGAGATGCAGAGAGGAGAGAAAGCCAGAGGAGAGATGCAGGTTGGTTGAGTGATGACGGACGCTGCCGACCGACCGACCGACTGATCTTCGTCTAGACACGCGTCCTCACTGCTGTCTGACTAACGGAGAGTATAAAGTCCATTTTATAGCTCTACCCCTAATCTCAGCTTCCTCACATTAATAATCGATTTCAACCATTTATTACAGGGTCGGGAAGAGGGAGGAGTTATTTCACGTCTTTGTATAAATAAGAGTTTTTGATGACACAAAAATCTACAGTCAATAATAAAAGACACAAGCTTCTGTCCTTGAACACAGAAAAAATGACGAACACTGAGCTGAGGCAAATATCTGTATTTCACTATAAAGTAATCTTTAATATAAATAAACTGATTCCGTGAAGCTTTGAGAAGGAAAGTACAACTTCCAAAGGAGCATTCTGGGAAATATCCAATCAAGAATTTAAGTGAAAATATTCAACCTGGTGGTCATTTTACAAACTCATCAAATTATCCAGCAGACCCTGATATAATTAAAGCTTAATTATGATTAGAATTAATATATATATACAAACATGTATATTTTAAAGATGATTCTCCTCAACTGGAAATCATTTGAATTCATTGAACCAGTTCTCAGCTCGGGTTAACTGCCCCCCCACACATTCACACTTCCCCTCGGAGTTAAAAAGTGTGTGTTGATCTAACCCAGCGCTCAAGGCCATGCAATCGAACATGTTTCTAATTTCCTGTGGCTCAGTGTCCATGTGTGTCACCCCTCAGATATTCAATAACCCCTCCCTCGACAGCGTGTTGCACAAGTGTCAATATCCTGAGTTACAGCTACAGACCATGACGTCCAACTGATGAGGTGAAAATGAAAACAGCATCTCAATAATGACATTTTAAGCTACGACACAACTTCACATCGAACCGGCAGCTCTTCAGGAACACGTTTTTTTTAAGCGAGGAGCTTCCAGAGCACATCTTGTGTTTCCTGTTCCTGCAGCGAGAGCCCGTCACACCGAAAATCACTGGATGACTAATCAGTAGCTTAAAGCTCTAAAGGCTCATTTATGTTGGAAACAGAAATGGACAGAGACTTCTGTCCATTCTCTGCATTCATTTCGTCCAGGGTTACGCACGTCTTTTGTACGTATGAGGACGAAACAGAGAAGTACAACTAGAAATCACTGGGAGCTACCAACAATAACTCAATGTCCAAATGTCACGGACGACTCTGTCCTCTGCTGCTTAATAACTGTGCCAACGCAAAAGATGCATGAAAGCATGTGGACACAGCGATGGTTGCATTGTTTGAAATGGACTCCGTTTACACTTGTTTATCTACACTAACCACAATACCTCAGTGTAAATCACAGGCAGAGGCAGCTTCAGTGTCTATCACCTGAGTGCTGCTGTGACCGAGCCTGTACAAACTCATCAACATGGATTCGTGGAGTGGGCTGTGTCACTCTTACCTCTGTGACCGCGCACCGACGCTGAAGCCCATGTATCCCTCCTGAGGGAGCGAGTCGTCCCCCAGCTCCCGCAGGTCCTGGGGGGCCAGATATTTATCTGTGTCCCCCGTCATGGCATCGTCACCTGGGGGATCAAAACACACAGGGACGGAGACAGGTCAGGTAAAGAATGCACAAGTTGTCTCTCCTCTGTATCAATGTCCCCTCGCTCGATATCTACCGTCCACGTTTTGCTTGAGCAACGCACGTGTGACGCTTCATGTGAGCTTCTCAACATTTAACTCTCTTTGCTGCCTCGTGCTGGAGTGTTTTGGTCGTCCAGAGCAGCTCTTTCAGACAGATCAATGCAGCCTTTGCCCGGAGGCGGCTTTCCAGCTCAGCTCCAACAAACACACACACACACACAAACAAACAAAAGTCACTAAAAAGCTTTTTGTCCCGATCCCCCAAACACTTAACACGCCAAGATCAAACAGTGAAGACTGCAAACAAGAAAGAGAGCTGCTGTCGGTGACCTTTCTGCATCAGGTTAGTTTGAGAAGTAGCGAGAAGCAGTTTAAGCGCTTTATATATTCTAAAAAAGCAAAGCTAAGGTAGCGTTGGTGCAGGTTTCACTGGCAGCTTCATCATTCCAGCTATAAAACGAGACGTACGTTACAGGCCCGCGAGCAGGAGCATGGTCAGCAGTGCGTTATTCCCCTCGGACGTACTGTAGGTCTGAGCCTCCTGATGAACCCGGTGAGTTGAAAGGGAGATGGGTGGAGAGTTAAAGAGGGAGAGGGGAGCAAGTGCACGCAGGCGGAGAAACCAGGGGGGAAAGAAAAGGAAGGAATTCCAGCGACCACAAAAGCACCGGAGACCCCACCAGCACCCCATCCCTCCCTGTCCCCTCACCCCCTGCTGCTACAGCTCCCCTCCCCCCCTTAAACTTTCTCTCTCTCTCTCTCTCACCCACACACACACGGATACTTTACAGACCCATCTGGTGACATTCCAGCCCATTCCCTTTTCACGGGAAAAGCAGAATCCCCTCCTGAGCGAGCCACGACTCACCTCCTGCTTTAAAGCACTTCATTCAGCCGTTTGTCCAGTTTGCAGGATTTCACCCTCAGCTAACTTTTCTCCCTTCAACTCTCTCCCTCTCTCTCTCCCTCTCCCTCTCTCTCTCTCTCTACACTGTCTATCTCTCTTTCACAGCCCGGCGCTCACACAAACAGATCAGCTTTCTCCCGCCTACCAGCCCTGCTCTAGGATTATCCACTGTGTGTGTGTGTGTGTGTGTGTGTGTGTGTGTGTGTGTGTGTGTGTGTGTGTGTGAACAGACACCTACATCTCACTGCAGGACAGAAATAGTAAGTGGGTGTGTGCAGACCAAGTTGTCGAACATCTAAACTCTGCTGTGTCTGTAGATGCACACTACTTTATACTGTAAATCCTCTTCCACGTCTTCCCTCTGCTCATTCGTCTCTCCATCTTCCCCTCGAAGTCTGTATTTTCAGCTCACCCCTCCAGCTGCTTCCCTGAGTCGACTCGCGCGTCAAACAGCTTGTGTTTGTTTTGTCACCTTGCAGAAACTCATGGCTACACACGAAGCTAATTTTAAAAAGCAACCAACATTAGTCTGCTTGTCTTTGTGTTGCCACCACAGCAGCTGTCGGAGTCGAAATAATTGACTGTAAATAAAGATGGGCCATATGGAAACTTCCTGAAAGTGAAGCAAAATCTTCTTGATAACAACCTAGTGGCCGGCTGCGTTACAGGTCATAAACTGCAACTCCTCCATGTTAGTGGATGGGACATGGACCAAATCAGCTGTTAAAATAAGATAAGATAGTTTCTGTCAACCAGCTTTTTCTTTTTAATGTTCCGGGACTTAAGGTTATAAAAACGTTTCGCTTATGAGTCTTTAATTTAAAAGTCAGAAGTCCTAATTTTGAGTCCAAATGAAAAAGTCATCAATAAAAGATTAGTATAGTTACAGTATAATGGTTACTGCCATTTGACCAATGAGCAGATTCCCCTACTTTCGATGTTTTGTTATAGTTAGAATATGAAACGCTGGAAGACACAACACATTTTGGATCTTCGCCTATCAAATATGAATTAACTTTATAACTTTTTTTCATGGGGTCTGTGGGCCGTTCAGATTTCGATCAGGGACTGTGTGTCTGTGTGTGTGTGTGTGTGTGTGTGTGTGTGTGTGTGTTACTGGAGATGTTAATCGTTGCTGTTACTCGGCTGGTATGTGAGCCTGTGTGTGTCTATGTGTGTATTTTTGGAAGAGAAATTAAAGATGGACACTCTCCTGGAGCTCCACGACAAAAACAACAACAACAACAACCACTCACACACACACACACTCAGAACCTCAGAGTGATGGCACAAACAAGCACAGAAAATACACAAATAAAATACACACGAGTTTAGTTCCATCAGTTCAGCTGCACCACTTCAGACGGGTTATTAGTGTTAGTTGCAGTGACATCACCATTTCATTGGGAACTTACAGGAATAGCTGATGCAGATATTTCCAACATCCATTTCTGTTTGAACAAAGAAAAACACCTTCAACCATTGACTTGAGGAGTTTTTGTCATCTGGGTTCAACTCTCAGGACAGAATACAAACTGAAATCATGCAAGAAGGAATATTAGTGACTGCAACACAAGACGCTACTCTTGTTACTAAAGTGAGAGAGATTCCACTTCTGTGCCTCTCTTTGGATTCCACAGATCACTGCACACATCTCCACCAAGTGGAAAACTAATCTGGAGTTTCCCTCGTGTGATTTACGTCCAACTTATCTGAAGGAACATAGAGTGTTTCCTTCAGTAACTCTACGATACTGATGACATGAAATATGGAGCACCCCTGGGCTCTATCCTCGGTCCTCTGCTTTCCTCTTTTTGTATTTCACCAACTTTATTTTTCACTTCCTCTAAAAGCTGAGGACTCAAATTCTCAAATCGGCGGCCGGCACGTCTGATGTGAACATCCGTGTTCGTAAAACTCTATCTCGCTCTGTTCTGATTTTTTTTGAGATTTGACGAAATAAAACTTTATTTTTTGTCTCTTATAACACCTGCCCAGACACACCGCTTCAGATACATGATATGACGATATTGCATTTATATTAAATATAAATAACAGCAGCGGAGGTTGTTTTCTCATGTTATCTGTCCACACACATCTGTAACCACTGTTTCTCTGGTGCTGAGTAAATGTGGATTTCTGCAGACTGTGACATTTAGCAGCTGTGAAAAACTGCAGAAGGCAAGAAACATGTGACCACCTAAAAAAGAAAGCCGACTATGTTTCCCCAGCACTGTCCAGCACCAGAGGACAGGATGAGCCCAACGACAATGAAACAAACTATTGACTGAAAAATATCAATAAATCAAACGCTGGGTTTCCCCCCTTCCCCCGTCTGCAGATTATCAGGGACGGGCAGTAAAAACGTTCATATTCAGCTGCTCCTGAGCCGGACTAGGAAATCACACTCCAGCAGCTGACACCATGTTTGCTTTGGCCCGAATGTGTGAAACCACAATGGATGCATCATCAACAAGCCTTGAGAAGACAAAGGATCAAGTGTGTGTGTGTGTGTGTGTGTGTGTGTGTGTGTGTGTGTGTGTGTGTGTGTGTGTGTGCAGTCTACTCTCTGTGACTTGAAAAGAAATCTGTTACGCGCTCCCCGACGCCATATGCAGACAGTTGGCATGGCAACCAGCAGAAAAGCATATTCCCTGCATTCAGCCCACAGCACGACAGAGTGGAAGCGGGAAGAGGAAATTGAAAGTACACACGGTACAGTAAAAAAAATCAGAAAAAGTAAAGAAGCAAAAAGGATTTTGATGAAGTAAGAAGAGAGAAGTGAGGATTTCAAGAACACAACAGTGAAGAAAAATGTAAAAATACCTTCTTCCACATCAGATAAATAGTCCTCTGTGATCATTTCGGGGACATTGGCTTTACGGACTGTGTGATTGGGATGGAGGAGAGGGTTAGAAAAGGAAACCAAACAATATACAAATAAAAATCATAGGCAGCAAATGAAGTGAAATCAACAATGTGAGTAACGTTAATCAAAACAATGTATTTAACTTCCTGTAACTCTGGAAACAAAACAATAAAAACTTAATCGAGATGAAAACAAAACGTCAGATGATGAAGTCACATTAATTCAAATCGGGATGGATGTCTTATTTCTATGTTCAGCCTCGGAGAGCTGTTCTGATGAATGTGAAGTGATGCAGATTTACACATTAGTTACTCGGCTGTAGTAAAAGCCTGTAAAGAGGAATCCTCACCTTCGTCGTCCGACATGTCCAGCACCTCGTTCATGGTCTCTGGAACGTTCATCCTGTGCTTCTCTGTCACAGTCTGTCGATGGAGACAAGCTGGTCACTTATACATATATACATAACTTTAAAAGTAGTTTACATTAATTATACTTTCCATCAAATATCATTAACTTTAATATAATTACATTGAATTTACATCAGATTTGTGCACTGCATGTATTTGAGGTCTGTGAAGTTCTTTGTAAACATGTGTTTTTACAATTATTATTATAATTATCAAGCTCTATTGAAACTTTCTTATGTAAATAAGTTGTACATGAACATAAGGTCTATAGGTTTCTGAATCACATTCTCACCTGAGTGGTCAGAGTTTCCTCCGTGACGACTTTCAGTGTGTCAACCACAGAGATGTAGCCGAGCCTCCGGGCGATGGACAGAGCACTGTTTCCATTCTGCAGACAAAAAATACAAAGTGATGAAGGTGAGAGACACTCGACCTCTTCATCACTTATGCTAGAAACCACAACAAGCAACAAAGTCCAAGGGCTACATGCAAATTTAATTTAGACGTGTGCAGTGTAGTGTTTGACTCTGTGTGTGTGTGTGTGTGTGTGTGTGTGTGTGTGTGTGTGTGTACTCACAGTGGTTAGTTCGTTGGGCGACGCTCCGTGATGCAGCAGTAAGTTGATGATGTGTGTGTGTCCCTGCTGTGCGGCCTGATGGAGCGGGGAGTAGCCGTTCTGCAGAGGAGGTAAAGACGATAAAATAAGTTCATCCTTCGAGTTCACGTCTTTGTCGGTGTCTTCAGTGTGTCTGACTCCGAGTGTTGGAAACGTCATCAGCGGCCTGGCAGGAAAATGTCCAGTGCATGTCTGAGAGCAGATACATAAAGACGCACGGACTTGAAATGGTTACCTTGGTCTTGGCGTTGACCTTCGCCTGATTTTTCAGCAGGAAGTTGACCATCTTCACGTTGCCATAGTGACAGGCCACATGAAGAGGAGTGTATCCCAGCTGAGGACACAGAAAACATATCGTTAAAACGAACCATCCGAATGTGGATGACTCACATCAGCCAAAGGCCGTCGATGGTCACCAGCATCCAATCGGCTCAACCTTGAGTCCGAGTTGATGCTTTTTAACTGAATTTGAAGAAATCTCCTCACTGCGTTCTGGAGATATCGTGTTCACAAGGCAAAACGATGTGCTGCTCGAGAAGATGTTTGTATCGTTACCTTGGTCTCAGGGTCAATAGTTGCTCCCTGGTTGGCTAAGACCTCAGCAACGTTGACTTTATCCTCCTGAGCAGCCATGTGGAGCGGAGTCAGACCAGACTGACGGAGACAGAGAAGCAGGTGAAAACACAGACGAATATCTTCGAATAAAAACTTTTCTCAAAGCCAAAAGAAACAATCCACACTTTTTCCACCGCGGCACTTTTCTACCTTATTGCCCATGTTAATCGGAGCGTCTCGAGCCAGCAGCAGCGTCACGATGTCCACGTGTCCTTCCTGCGCAGCGAGGTGCAGAGGAGTGATCCCCTGCCGCGTCACCGTGTTGGTGGAGGCGCCGTACTCCAGCAACGTGGTGGTTATCTCCATCTGGTTCTTCTTAGCCGCAATGTGGAGCGGCGTGTAACCGTTCTGGGAACAGAAACATAAAACGATTGTTTATTTGTTCCGTTTGTTTCCTTTGCACCAAACAAGAGTTGTTGTGATTTTATTGGATATTGTTTGGGATCTAGAAAGATTTAGGTTTTCCGACGCAACTTGGTGAAAGACAGATTTATACGTTTGTAAAATTTGGTGCAGCTCCAATTCAAAAATCTAGATGCAGGGAATTCAAATGTGACGATTGTTGAATGTTGAATTGAATGTCGACATATTTGATTATGAACAATTACTAACGTGGGAAAACAAAAAAAAAAAAAAAGGAATGTTTTATCAGGAAGGAAACAGCTAATGGAGACGATTTCACTGGCAGCTCTTTCTGGAGCGATGCCGTTGGACCAGCCAATCACGCGGCTGCTCTCGGACACGGAACGTACAGTGTGATTGCATGTGGGTGAGTGAAAGTAGGTCAACCTGCTTCACCCCGAGCCAAAGAGAGAGAGAGGTTTTGGTGCATCAGTGCACTAAAGACCATTCAATTTCACCTCACACACACACTCACACACACACTCACACACACACACACACACACACTTTGACTCTTACCTTCGCAGCAGCGTGCGGCGAGGCTCCCTGGTTGAGCAGGAGCAGCGCCACCTTCTGGTTATCATAGTGCGCTGCCACATGCAGTGGAGTTAGTCCACTCTGAACACACACATACAACAAGTGAGCATTGTTAGGTGGAGATTTATAAACAGTGAGGTGCAGTCGTGATGGTGGGAGGAGCCTCGGCATCGAGGCTCCCGCTGATACAAGCGTTTAACCAATGGTGGGTCGGTCTCAGCTGTCAATCATGACGTTTAACCGCAGCGTCAAATAACTAACAGACATCATTTCATGCTTTCCTCTGATTGGTCGGTTTGTACACGTGAGTGGTTCAGGAGCAAATTTGGAGATTTGATGATTTTTGACCTTTTCTAAATTAATAAATCAAAACAATCGTGACCACCGCTTTGGACTGACGACAAAAGATTTTACCACGTTTATCGCTGATGATGTCACAGTTAACTTGCCCACTGCTGCTCAGACCTCGGGCTTCGTCTCTGGTATTTCATGAATTGTTGGAACAGACTCTAAGCGCCCCCTACTGGCCCAGCACGCTTGTTTGATCATTTAAAGTGCTTTACTGGTTCTCTTCTGGACGGAGACACGTTGCAAAGGTCGTCAAATGAGTAACTCATTGAACCTATGCTGGGAAATACTGCCGGCAGCCACCAGGGGGCGATCTAGATGCTTTGGCTTTACTTTAGGGAGCCGTCATGCCGTCCATCTGTAGAGTCTATGTTGGGAACTCTCACACACACTCTGACTCAATCATTCTCTCTCTCGCCGTTGATTCAAACAGGATTTACCTTCCCAGCTGCATCGGGCGGAGCGTTTTTCTGCAGCAGCAGGTTGGCGACCTCGATCTTCCCGTACTTTGCTGCGACATGTAACGGAGTGAAGCCCTTCTGCAGACGACGACAGGAGAGAAGAAGATTAACTCAAAACAGAATCTAATGTGAGTCGCTCTAAGATCATTAAAAACACATTCATCAGTGGTTGACTACACTCGTCTGCTCGGCGGAACCACATGTGTTTGATCGACTCGTGTGCAGTTTGATGTCATGACAACGAGCAGAACTCATGACTTAAAAATGACGAAGCTCAACACGAGCCCGGGGGTGTGGACGCAGGACGTGTGTTACATCAGATTCTTCAGCTGTGAGGCAACGCTGGTCCGTGACCGAAGTTCAAAATGAACTGCGAGCAGACAGACCCGGGGTCCGTGTGTGTTTGAACACACGTGTGGTGTGTCCATGTGCACATGTCTGTGTGTACACGCAAAGAGTGAATAACAAGGGTTGTTATGAGACTTGACAGAATCCAGAACGCCCATGAGTTTCTACAGAATGAAAAGTTATAACCTCATGATATTAAATTCCACAGAAATCTTTGGGTGTTTTCGTACTTTGAGATACAG